GGGGGAAAGAGGACTTAGTTTAAAAAGCAGGTGAAAAGAAGCATAGGTTTGGAAAGAAGATGGAGGCATCTCCAGTTAGCTTCCTGCATATCCAATATCATTAAGCTAATCGAAGGAGTTGGCAGGATGGAAGTTTGTTGCTAAGTGCCAGACTGCTACCAGGATTCAGAAGGAGAAAGGGAATGCACAGATTTTACTCTTCCTGGAGCTGCACCCCCAAAAAGGAGTAAAGCTGGTAACTAAGGAGACCAGGTTTGTTCCTGAAACTGGTGGCTGGGCTGTGTTCTCTGGAGATGAACTTCAGGTCAGTTCTTCAGCTGTAAGTTCCAAGAAGTCCCCAGAGAGATGCCCATGCTGCTGCAAACTTGCATCCATAATTATTAGGTCTGCATTTTCTGCAGGCAGTTAGAAAACTCGCCCTCAGTTATGCCAGGCTGTAGGCATGCCTCCTGTCCTCGTGAAGGGTGACCTGTTCCCCCTCCCAGCTATCCTGTCCTTTTTCTGCAGTGACTGGCAGGAGGTAAAGCAGCTCAAGCCCCGAGCCAGAGGGAAAGTCTTACTGATTCAGAGTGCTCAGGCGACGTTGGTGACCCCGCATCCAGTGGCTGGTGGCAGCAAGGCATCAGGAAGGAGAAAAATAAGAGGATGTTACCAACCAAAGGGGGAAAACAACTGCGACATTTAACCTGGTTCCCATGTTTGAGCAACTAACCACTGAACATGCCCATCTACCACATAGAACATGGGAAGAATTCACCACACCTATTCTGAGATAGCATTATAAAAGGGAAGCTCTCTCCATTTCTTTCACAGGATGATGCTGTTCTACAGCTCCCAGACAGAAGGAAATTCTGCCCCGTCCCCAGTCAGAATTAGGAACTGCAGGAAGAAATAGTTCGAGTCCCACTGTAGGTAATGCAAGTCTGCACTGGGAACTTGCCTCTGGCTCTCGGAAAGTGTACGGCCAATAGCTTGACCTCCTTCAGGATTCACGTGCCAAGGCTGGCACAGTGCCCAGTGGAGCCTTGCTTCCAACATGCTCCAGCACGTCACTCCTGACCAAAACAAAATGCCTCCTACTTCAAATAAGGAACCCACCATTTCTCAAGTTAAATGACTTAGTTGAAGCTCTAAAAACACAGGCCATACGTCAAAGCAGCTTCACCTCCCCGCTAAAGTCAGCTGCAGCCAAACATCCTGGAGTTCAGGAATCAGGAAAGCCATCCTGTTCCCTTCACAGGAGGCACTCACCTTAAACACCTGGTCCAACGTGAGATAGCGATTGGCATCAGGGTGTATAGTCCAGAAGGAGATTTTACCATTAGCAGACGTCTCACGGACAAACATATCATGAAGGGATAGGTTGTGTCGGATAGAATTCTGGAAAGATACAAGACATCTTAGGGCTTTTGATTACAGAGTGCAACTAACATCCTCAGACACTACAGTCCAGGGAGCGAAGCTCTGCCCATGGCAGACTTTGATCCAATTTATTTACCATATGTTTGGTCGTCTTAATCACAAAAGCTGCTTGCTCCCCTCACATTTAGGAGCCCAGCTCCCAGCCTAGTGATCAGTTATCCTCTCCCCTGCCTGGCTAGAGCAGGAAAGAGAATGGTGGAGAGGTTGTAACGGAAAAGGGAATGTCAGGAATAGAAGGTGGCACTTTATAAAACTATTTTCTATCCTGTTTCACAGGTTGATGCTTTTTGACTGGGTAATTGTTTTTCTATTTGCATCCAACAGTCCCACTACAGTCACCCTGTTATCTGACCTCACCCGCACAAGTGGACATGACTGCTGGACAGCATATTACCTTCCAGCCTGGCTTGGCTACATGCTTGAAGTAAGGGAAGTGATCCTCAATCCAAGTGTAGATGTCTTTCAGGGTCATACGTTTCTTCTCAGTGCTGTTGATGGCAAACTGGATCATGGCCATGTAGGAATAGGGGGGCCGTTCTGATATTGAGTCCTGCCATGAGGAAGTGGAGGTTGAAGCAACAGCACTAGAATCCTCCTCTATCTGGGAGAGAAAAGGACACAGTGATAGTTGCAAGTTAAGGAATTTGAAGCCTGCTGCACAGCTCCACATTGAATTGCAGAAAAATAGAGCTGGAAGGGACTACAGGAGGTCATTTAGTCTAAACCCTTGTTCAAGATAGGAGCATCCCTATCTAAAATGCCTCATCCAAGTATTTGTCTAACATGCTTAAAAGCTTCCAATGAAGGAGATTCCAAAACCTTTTCAAATAATCTTTTCCAGTTTAACTTGCCTAGATTGGTTATTAGGATGAACTTTCTAACCTAGATTTCCCATCTTGTAATTGAAGACCACTACTTATTGTCCTGTTCCCAGTGGATAGAGTCTCCGTCTTCTTTATAAGCAACTTATTCTTTGTATTTGAAGATTGTTATCAAATTCCCCCTCAGGTTTCTTTTCACCAGATTAACCACCCTCCTTCCATGGGGAAAAGGCTTGTGTTATGTCTGTCGCCTCCAAGGTTTCTCACCTGTGTATCCCAGCTCCTTCCCCTCTCCAGAGGTTTCCTCTATCTTATGCTCTACTCCTTTCATCCCTAGAGTGCTTCTTACCTTGATTCCCTCCACCTGTACAGGGGTCTGGTTCTCTTTCTCCATCTCTTGTTTCACAGTGGAAGGACTCAGGCCATCAGAGCTCATCCTTCCCAGCCACTGGATGTTAGTTAGGCTGTTATCCAATGCGCAGCTTGTCATCTCTCCACTGCCTGCAGAGAAATCGACCCAGAGCATTGCTCACTTATCTGCAAACACATCTCAGATGCCTTGAAGGACACCCCAACCAGGAACCTCAAAGGTATCTTCAGTGCCCCCTTATGACATGGGTACACAATAGCACTACAAAGCTAAGCAACCTTGTGGAAGTAGCCAGAGTTTCTGGTTTAATTGTGGATGGGCCCTACTCCCAATTTGTAGCTTCAAGCCTAAAAAGCTAGCTTTAATTGGAATCCCTCCTCCCACCCTGTTCCTTGAACTAAAATGAGTTTCTGCTGAAAGCAACTCTTAACAAAAAGAAATTCAGGCATGTACTAGCCAGAGGACTAAACTTAGCAACAGAGGCCATGAGAAATAAAGACGTGCACTCTACCAGCAGAAGCCTGGGAAGGACCTTAATGAGTTCAGCTCCTGGCAGGGATGCACGTGGTGGAGGGAGAAGGGTGCTGGCCTTCCTACTCTAGTTTGACCTCTTGCAATTACTTGAGCACCACCTCTTTCCTCAGGTTCTAGCTCACAAACATCCCAAATTGTAACTGTTCCATGTGAACTGTTCCATCTCCTCCATCCCCTAATGTCTGGAAAAGGAAGAAGGTCTTTTCAACTTTCTTTCTCAAACTGCTGAAAGTGGTTGCTATTCTACCTGTCTGCCAGGGGCTCTTGACCATTCTGAAGGAGGTGAAAACATCCCACTTGATCCTTCCCAAACTTCATTTCTCCATGTAAGCAACTCCATTGCCTGCTGCTCACAACTTTGCCAACCTGCAGCATCTGCCCCAGGTTGATGGGATTCTCAAGAGCACTAAAGTCTGGCTGTCTGCAAGGGCCCTGAACAGCAGTAGCAAAAAGTGAACACATTTATTTTCCTTAGTCTAAGAGCCACATGCAGCAGCAAAGCTACTACCTACAGACTGTGGAGCACCTGTACTGAGGCACATTTGCACATGTGGGAGTTTATCTACCAGCACACACGTGAGACAGAGACTTCTTTTTGTTAGAAGAGTGTATTTGTCAGCAGGCAGTGGTTGAGGTAACCCCATGGGGAAGAAGCCCAAATGGCCATTCAAGTCCAAGCTGAGAAAATATAACCTCCATCCCTGGTGTGGCACGGACCAAGTTTCTTCACAAGGGGTAGCAAGGAAGAAGCCGCAGCTGCCAGTCCAAAAGCAACAGAGATCTCCCTTTCCTGGTATCTCTAGCCATGCATTTCATAGAATCATAGAAAATTAGGGCAGGAAGGGACCTCAGGAGTCATCTAGTCCAACCCCTGCTTAAAAGCAGGACCATCCCCAACTAGATCATCCCAGACACAGCTTTATCTAGCCAGGTTTGGAAAACCTCCAAGGATGGAGCTTCCACCACCTCTCTGGGTAACCTGCTTCAGTGTTTACTACCCACCTAGTGAGAACGTTCTTCCTAATATCCAACCTAAACTTCCCTTGCTGCAACTTGAGACTATTGCTCCTCGTTCTGTCACCACTGAGAACAGTCCAGCTCCAGCCCCTTTCCAACCCCCCTTCAGGTAGTTGAAGGCTGCTATGAAGTCCCCTCTTCTCTAGACTAAAATGGAGTGATGTCAAGTGCCCAGCTCCCCACCTGGCTCCAGCCCCACATCTCCTAGCAAGCCTGAAGCCCAGCTTGTCTGGAGCGCCCAGCCTGTGCCGCCAGCCCCGACAAGCCCCGGGGGGAAGCAGACCACCAAGACTCCGGCACTTAGGCCCGGAACTCCTGCCCCCAAGCGCGGCCAGGAGCTTCCCCGTACCACCCCCGCCCGCCGCAGGCCGAGCAGAGC